CGAAAACTGCCTTTTTCATGATGAAAAACGAAACAACACACTTCTTTCTTGAACAAACGGACACCATACAGGTGCGATTGGAACATAACCGAAACGTGTCACAAAAAGCAGAAAATGTGTTTTGGAGAAGGTGGGGAGAAGAAAAGGTAACAGGATCTGTAAGAGGAAGCCAACAAATGAAACATGTATGTACAAATGGAGATATATGGATAGTAGTATGTAGATGTTCAAAATCTCATTTATTTTGCATAGGTTGCTGCGTGGTTGCATAAGAAGGCGTCTGGAATTTGACTTTGATTATGGGACTGTTGAGACGACAAAAATGTAATTAAACAAATAAAACTTTGAAGTGGAACGTTCCCATATATAACAACAACTTTGTTTCAAACGTTTTTAAGTGCTTTTCCTTCAGTTTGAAAACTTCAAAGTTTAATACTGTTAATATTTTCTTGTTGATTTTTTTTAAATAAATAAATTTTATTTTAAAAAATCAAACCGTGAAATTATATCTTCATGTTCATTTCAAAGCTATTTCAAAGTTTCAATCATTACAAAAAGAAGAACTTCAAAAATCATTATAAAATCTGTCTATCGGTTAGTTTCCATCTTTTTCAAAATTTTCAAAAAATCAAACACATAATTTCTCAGAGAGATGAAAAACTTTATAATTTTCTCGGTGATTGTGACTTTCGGGTTTTGTGAGAAACTAAGTGAGGAGCTGGATTTTGAGCGGGCCGAGCAATGTGGAAAATTACCAGGTCATTTTTTTTTGTGTTTTTGGTTCAAATTTATTTTTATAGAGCATAGAAGTGCTCACATTGAGCTTGGCTCTGGATTTTTTTTTTCAAAATTCAACCCTTTTTTTTTTTCAAGCCTCCAATCCTTTATTTCAGCCAATAAGACAGCCGTAAGGCCAGCGGACACTGAAGCACCATGGTCATTTTATTTTACCTACAAGGATTTGAAGTATACTACAACTCTTGTTTCTCCACGTCACGTTATTTCGGCTGGACCCCTTATTCTTAAAAGTGTCAATGATACTCAATCGCACAAATGGAAATGGGAAGACGGATCTAAAGTGAATTTTGAGGATTGCAAAGATAAGTGAGTTTCTCGAGTTTTATAGCCAAAACTTTTTATGAAAATTTCGAAACAAAATGTAAAAACTTGTGTTAGTGTTATGTATATGATTTAAGAAATAAGTGAATTTTCATCAGGAGGAATAAATAATCCGGCTGAAAAATTTCTCGTTCTCTCTTAGTCATTTAAAGTTCGAAAATAAATAATTTCATAATAAACAAAATTCTAAATAATTTCAAAATGTGTTGATGACAGTTCATAATTTGAATTGTAAAGAGGCCCCACTAAGAAAGTCGTTAAAAAGTTATTTTAAGACCATTGATCAATTTTTCAGAGAAAAAAAAAATTCCAAAAAGAATACTGAAAGGGATCAAAGTGAGAATAAGCGTGTGCTGGAATCCAGAGAGATGTGGATTCGGTATTCAAAGATCAGTTGTTAACGTTAGTTTTTTAATTTTTCAGATAGAGACGCTCATTTATGAATATTTCCAATCATTGAAGACAGTAGAATTTCAAAAAATGTAGTATGTTATTTTTTGAACTACAGTCGTTTATAGTTGACATTTTTATAGCTTACAATACTGGTGAGTGCTATTAAATAACATTGTTAGAGTAAATATAGAGACTGTACGGTACTTTTAAAAGTATTGCATGAAAAGTGATAAAATAGAACTCCTATAATTATTTCTTTCAGGGTTGGTATCTAGGAAATTGTCTCCGTGGAGAGGAACCAATTGGACTCATTCTCTTGGAACTAAGCTCTAACGTTCCTCCAAATGAGCCATTCTTCGTGCCTGCTTGTATTCCATGTGAGTTTTAAACTTTTTTTGCATGTTTTTGCTTTTTCCGTGTCATATTTCAAACTGAAACATCTTTTATAAACTGAAAGGAATATCTAAAAGTTGTATCTGGAAAAGTCGGAACGAAAAAATTAAATATGTTCTCTGTTAAAAATTTAATTGTGTATTCGCTGGTTAATAAGAAAATGAAATTTTCTAGAAAAAGGATTTCTAAATTCAAATTATGATTTAAAGTTTCATATGAAACTATTGCTTGTTTAATTTTTTTTCGCAAGAATTTGTTGCGAAAGGTGGAATATGGATTTTTTTTCGTTGAAATAACACATTGAATTTTTTATTTAAGCAGAAGCAAAGCTCACTAAATATGAAGACGATGTAAGCATACACTCCGT